TTTTTTTTTTTTTGTTGATATTTGTAGCACCATAAGCCGTAAAACAAATTTTTACACAGGTTATTGAATTTGTCGCATATATTTTGGCAAACAGATCTATACAACAAATGTTGTAATTCCAAATTTGGTAGAACATTTTTCCAATTTTTTTCCTCTTCTAATACATTCTTTTTTTTGTCTATATTTATTTGGTTAGTACCAGTATATTGGTGCTATTACTATCAGGTGCCATTTTTTATGATGTGTGTACATAACGATTTAGTTGCAAATTGTCGAGAAAAAAAAGGTAAGAAAAACTATTTGGAATAAAAAAAAAAGGAAAAAAACTGTTGAACAGTAGTGTTTATTTGAGAAGTTTAGCCCAATAATGTTTCTAAACGTTTTCATCATTTTCTTGGTCTTTATTGTACAAACAAAAGAATAAACCAGATAAATTAGTTTCAAAATACGGTGACTATATTCTTTCAACACAAGTAATCAATTTTATTAGCAAACAGACTTGTGAAAAACCAAAAAAAGAAAAGAAAACAACAGTATTGGATTACCAGTAATATTTTTGCTTGATAACTCAACAAAATCTACACGTTTAATATAATTCTAATTGGCAGTTAGAAGGTTGTATGCATACTATATTTTGGTAAAACCACCAACTAACCGATACTGTTGTATAATCTTCCGTGTATTACTTTCATTAAAAAATTACTAAGCTTAAAAAAAACATGTCACTTGCTTAAGTAATGACACCTTATTGACAGCTATCGTCGGTTTGTAAAAAAAAACAAAAGTAAACGAAACTCTTTACACTCCTACACAAATACACTATAAAATTTTTTTTTCCTCAAATTTATCGGCTATTGGGAAGTATTTTACATTCTTTTCTATTGAATCCTTTTTCAACGTTACAAATGTGGAATCTTTAGTATAGAGGAGAGCAGTGTCTCTAACAAGCTGCATTAAAATCTGTACGAACAATAAAACTGCATATACTTTAGTTTCTTCGCTGTCTCAAAATTTATTCCATAAATAACAGTTAGAAAAACCGGAACGTCAGTTTTCATCGAAGACTGCACACCAAAAGAAATTCGACATTTTGAGATTCGTTATAGTTCACAAAATAAAGATGGTCACTTGTTTACTCGTAATTCCTATGTTGGAAACGACAGCAAACAGAACTTCTGCGAATTAAGTGTATATTGTCAAAGACGAAGGAAGAGAGAAAGAACTTATATCTACTGAGCACAACAAAATCATAATCTTAAGAACAGTGTAATTATGAAAACTAAAGAGATCGTTGTTAAAAAAACTGTTTATAACAGTGTATCACAACAAAGTGTCAATGAATGAATGGTGCAACAAATTATATTGAGGTAAGTTAATCTAAAGGTCTAGTTTGTTCAGCCTTATAAATTTTCGCTGTAGCCCACGATTTGTTAGAATATCTAGATGAACATAACAAATGATCAAAATAAGGCGCAAAATGACTTTCAATCTGGTGATTGTACTATCAGAGTTTAGTCTTGAAGTTTGCACTGTCAATAAACTATCATACAAAAACTTTTGAAATGCAGATAAATTAAGCTCATAGAGTGACTAGTAGTTTTCGAAAAATAATATTCCCTGTAGAAAAGATGACAAGCCTTTCCCAGTAAGCGTCTCCTTTTATCTCAGAAATTAAAGAAATTTCTGGAGCTGTAGATTACCATCAAGAAACGGTACTTTGGTGTTTCAAATGTCGGGAAGAGTAAATCATGGTTAGCTTTAAAAAATGCAAAAAATTTTTTGATTTTTGGAAGTTTGATAATTTGAAAAACTCATAGAATATTTTTGGTACTTTACAGATGTCTCTGTGATCCATAACACTGATTATTTTCGCTCAAGAACGCTTTCAAGTTCTTCAAACTCCAGATTCTCAACGGGTTTCTACAGCAACTTCCCGTGAAGAACTACTACTTTATCGTAGATGTTCGCTAACAAGGCCGCTTGCTTCTTCAGTGAAATTATTTTGGCGACTATGTCAAATTAAATACACTCAACTATTTCATTAGCCTCTTCTTTAAATTTCTTGTTCACCCTTACCATCATCTCCTTCATCATCCAGAATCTTCAGAGTCTTTTCCAGGGCTGAGGTCTGGGACTGTTCCTGAGCGTAAGGTTAGCTGATCGAGTGGGCTTGGTTTGCCTTTTTTTCTAAGCAAATCGGTGCTATCTTCTATCTTATCTCCTAATTCTGGAGCTGATTCGCATGCCTGGTCGGCAAGTCCGAGGCGTTCATGCTTCCTTTTCTTCTTATCGTCTTTCTTCTTTTTGACATCTTCCAAAAATGTTTCATAAAGGAATTTTGGTTGATTTCCTTCTCCAGTCGCCTGTGGTCTCGCAATATCTTCATTCGGAACTGTTGTTTCCTTTATGCGCCAACCAGCAACAACGTCGTAAGTGACATCGTCGTCATAGTTTGCGCGTTCGTATTTTCTTGTTAAAGGTTTTTCAGCGGTAGTTTTCTTCTCCTCTGAGTGTTTTTTCTTCCCTTTAGTTGATTTTTTCATACTTTGTTGTTCATAGTCCATATCAGCTCTTTCAGCTCTTCTACGCTTCCATAAGAAATAAAATCCAATTATCATTATTAGGATAATTGCAATTAAGAGAATTGGTAGAGTAACAAGGAACCATTTGGCTGACATAATGGACCGTTTTGAAGCAGCTAAAAAAATTTAAGAAATAAAATTTGTGTTTTACCGCACTTTGCAAGTCTTGCTTATGTTTTTCTTTATTCATGTTTGTACTTAAATGTTCATAAGAAGCGAACAAAATAAAATGTGTTTCTTACATTTGGTAGCGTTTGTCTTTGGTTTTTTCTGAAAATATCAAATTTGTAAGCATATTTTTTGTAACTGAAAGCAACCCGGTTATTCTCTAATACTCCTGTATAATACTCTTTTATAACCTAAAAAACCAAGCAGAGTGAGGTAGCGATCCTTTTCTCAAAGTCGTTCTTCACTGCCGTTCGTCTTTTTATTACAATTTCTATTCGTTAAACTTTTCTAATTACTTTCCACTTTAGCTAGCTTTTTTTTCATCGGTTGGTCACCAAAGTTTTCCTTTGCTTGGAAACATAAGATGAATGCTCTTATCATATAGTGACAGGAAAAAACAAATAGAAATTCTGATTTTTCGCTAATGACTAAATTATTTTAAAGATTATACTCCATTAAAACGTCTGAGGTTGACTTGGAGATACTGGAAGAGTTATAGGACGTAACAGAGGAAAATCAGTTCTTAGTTATCAGGACAAAACCTTGTTAAATATTTCATGAATTCTAAAAAAATTTAAGAATTCTTAAATATCAAACCATAGAAAATTTTTGAATATAGATACTATGCAGACTAATAGCCAAAATAAATTACTGAGAGCAAAAAAAGGAATTTCTTTAAGCAATAGAAGAATTGTTCAAGAATTATCAGTAACTAGCAGTTTACTAATGTATCTTTGTTGATACAAAACGAGGAAGGTATTGAAAACATAGACAAATGGTAAGATTTTTTAAAAAATTTTGCAGCACTGTATCTTCTTGTAAAGCTTGGAAAAAATTGAAAAAAAGGTTGAAGATTTTTTTTTTTTTTGTTATTTTTTGCCTTTTTCTTTTTAACTTCAGGTTGGTGATATCATTTTTCCCAGTCTTCAAATTTGCTCTTCGAGTTTTACTCACTTAATGCTTATATCTTTTGTCACGGAATGAAAAAAAAAAAAGACGAAGAAAAATATTTTTGATGTCAAGGAATGATTTTGTCATAAAATCTGTCTCTATGCTTGCAGTTAAACAATTAGTATAGTATAACAGTTGATAAGATTGATTTAACAAAATTATACTTACTGTTTTCATGATGAGTGGAGCTGAAAGTATAATTTAATAAGCAGCAGTAAGTTTTTATCTGTAATAAAGTTCAAAAAGAAAAATAATGTAAAGTTACAGTGAAACATTTTTTTTTCTTGTAAATTAACAGAAAAAAGTGTTGCACAGTAAATAAAAAACAAAAATTGTATTGTTTGAATTGTATTTAAATCAATTTAAGGGATAGAAAAAAAGAAATAATTATAAAAAAAATTTTTTACTGCAACACTAAAAAAGTGTTTTGTTTTCTTATCAAAATAATCTATAATATCTGAAAGAAACTTTAGCTCATTTTTCACGTATGATCATTCTGGCATATTTTTCTAAAAGTTTGTATTTTTTTCGTTAAAATTCTTTTCTTCTGCAACAGAATTACTGTTTTTGTTCTTTGGTTTATTCTTTCTTCTTTTTTTTGTGCCTCTCATTTACAGTAGAAATTGATTCTCTTTGTTGACTTACTTTTTACTTCCAAACTCTACAAATGGTACTGCTGACTTATGCTAATTTTTTGAAGCTAAAATTTTTTCCTTTTTTACAAAAGAACTCCAATTATGTGTTTTTCCTTGTTCTTTGTCTTCAGCTTTTCTTCTCCTTTTTTTCTCCCTTGCTATTTCAAATGCTCCCCGTACAGGTCAAATGCAAAGCATCAAAGATTTTTGAAAACGTGATTGGAAACCACATAATCTCATCGATGCGCACCTTCTGAGGTCGATTAAACTGCTGTTATAGCTGCCTTCTTCTTTCTGATTACCAAAGTCAGAATTACGCTTTTTTCTTGTCAAATTTTGCTTGTAAATTTTCTGTTTATTTACTACTACAAAATTTTGAAAATACTTAAACATTTTTCTGGTTTGCTTCTCTGATTTTTCAACCAGATATTTTTGAGCCTTTCTTTTGTTGCATCCAGTTTAAACAACCGTCTCTCTGTGCCTATCCCAAACCTACCTAATGTTGCGCCTCAGCTTTTTTTGATTAATTTATATTTAGCTACTGAAAGAAAAGCACTTTTTGAATTTGTAGTTTTTTAGGAGATTTGTTTTCCCCTTTAAAACTGGAGAAGTATTACACTGCAAAAGAAAAAATACTTTTATTTTAAAAATTAATTTGTAGTGTAACAAGTAACTATAATGTTTAACTTCACCTGCGGAGGGAGCATATTTTCTTTTTGAGATCTAAAATATAAAAGTTATTTTTCCTTGAACTTTGTACACTGAATAATACTGTTCGAACATTTTTGAACTGCTTTATAAGGTACATTCACCGTTTTTTACAACTATATCTTTTTTACGGTATATGGTCTGTAAAAAAGTGCTAACACTTTATAAGTTAAGTATAGTCTCTTTTTAATTTTATTAGCTCACCTTTTTTGTGCAAAAAACTGTTTCTGATTCATATTCTTCGCAGTGAACAGCATAAATGTCGTCTAAATTAATGGCTTTTGGTTTGGTTAGTCATTTGATCATTATACTTACAGTCAAGATCTAAGACCGACCAAGAACTAATATATTTTATTTAGAAAGATTAAACTGTAGTGAATGAAAGCTATGGCACCTTACCGATAACAACGTTAGATGTGGTCAAAAAAGATTTTGCTTATCTGCCATTGTGGAAGAAGACGGAAGTTTGTGAATTGAAGAATAAAGGATTGAATCAAGCTGCTAATTGCTGTTTTATCAATACTGGCAGTCAGTAAAGTTATCTGTCGTATTTTAGCTTCAGTTTCGTACAATGTCAACATTATTTTGAGCACTTTCAAAAAAGTTGAAAAAAAGGGGCTTGTCTGGTAGACAAGTTGTAAATGCAACATACATCGTTTTTCCGATTCTCGGAAGATCATTGCAACGCAACACACGTTACAATTTTTGATGCCAGTCTGCAAAGCTTTTTTACTAACATAGTCATCTTCCGGCGAAAACGGCAGAATCAATCCATTACGTATTACAACGTTGTGGTTCAGTAGAACATTTTTTGGAAATTTTATATCTTTGAGATAACCATCTAGAAAAATGAGTGTTTTTTAAGACCATAAGTGCCAAAAAAAAAAAAATTACTTTTTAAAATTTTACTCAAAAATAGCTGCAACAATTATCAAAGCGTAAATTTTTTTAATTATCAATGAATTAATAATGATTAATGGAGCTTGATGATTACTAATTTTCTTTGTTTAAAACAAAATGATACTGCAGAAGTTGGAGCAGTTAACGCCAAATATCTGTTAGTTACCGATAAACAGTTTTTCATCGTTTAAGTCTTCCATTATTGGAAGTGAGTAATAAATTTTATTACATACTGCTTGATGGCTCACTACGCCTTTAACGATTTCTTTATTCTAAAAAATAAGTGTAGATTTAAAATTTTTTATACTACAGAAGTAATTGAAATAAAAATTTTAATTTTTGTAAAATGTCAATGTGCTATCAGGTATCAGTCTCATTTATTTAGAAAGTCTTCTCTACCGTTTGGTTAGTGGCAAAAAGGCAGCCTTAATTTAATGCAGTTTTTTATGACTGTACAATGATTTTCAATATTTATAAAAGTTATAAAACTTAATACAACCAGTAAAACCTCATCAGAATTTTAAAAAAGTAGCAAATAAGTGAAGAGGAAAAAATGAAATTAAATCGAAAAGAAAATTCAATTTTTAATGAGCGATGGGATACAGTGCGTTAAGTTTCAAAAGAGTAGAAAAAAAGCAAGAATTTTTTTACGAACAACAAACGTTACTGATGCTTATTTCACTTCTATTTTTTTTCTCTTTGGCTTACTTAATAGCAGTTTTGAACTGACCAAAAATACAGTGTAGCATAAGATTTCATCAAGATTTCTCTCATAAGATACTGGGTTCAATCCCGGAGCATTGCATTCTTCGTAAAACTGTTCTGAAATTCATTAGCTGGCAGCTTTATGC